GCATTATTGTATTATATATATATATTTCATTTATTATTAAAATATATATATATATATATATGTATACATAATATATAGATAATTGATTCCCAAAATTCAGTATGGAATATGAAATAAAATATATTTTCTTGTGAGATGTGGTATATGTTTAAATATATTAATTTCAATATATGTGGATTAAGTAGAAGTGGAAAAAATTGCAAGTTAAAAAAGGTACCTTAAAGAAGATCACTCAAAAGTATTCAAGTATTTTTTATTAGCACATCTGTAATATTTTTCAGGATTCTACCCTGTTTATTTATATTTTCTTGCTTCTGTGTAATAACACTGTTTTCTGTACAATTGGTAGTAGCTGTTTGCGTGTTACCTTTACATTTCCTTGTCTATACAAACAGAGCTTATATTTCTCATCTTGAATTTCTTTGACCAACTCTAGATTTAAGTATGGTTGAGTAGAAGAAATCAATGCTTGGATTATCTATAAATAAACGCAATCAAATCATATATGTATATGCTGAGATAATATTTCATAGGACAGCATTGCATTAAATAACACTCACTTCATTTGCTAATTGATTAGACAATGTCGAGAAGATTGCAATATCTCTACATACATGTTCACTGCTCACATTTTGACCTATGAGAATAATGACATCGCAATTTCTATCATCACCAAACTTTTCAATTGTTTCTTTCGCGTTTTCTCGCATAAGGAAGTTCTAAAATTGGTTATAAAACATTTATAAAATTGTTATAATTTTTTTTAACTAATAATAAAAATCCTAAATAACACACCTCTACTAAAAGAGAGAACCCTACAAGAGGTACACCATCGGTTATTTTTAAATCCTTAATCATAAGTTCTTCAAGACTTAATTCACTAACATTTGTTTTTGCATTCATAATTTTGTTAAATGTTTCAGTTCTAGTGGACATAAGTCTACCAAGTTGCTCAAGGGTGTTTAATACATCAATATCAGTAGCAGTTGCCCGACCAGCTTCAATTGACATATTGTAGGTGTCAATTAATATTGGACCTGAAAATATATTATGATATTATAATCATTAATAGCAATTTTGTAAAATATAATGTAAATTACCTTGTAAAAGACTCGCAATTTGTGCATCCAAAATATCAGCATTCTTTTGTAGAACATTACGTGCAACAAGGGTGGCACAGCTTCCAACAGTTTCTATGTTTAACAATACATTGGGCCATGACCAGGCTGGATCCAATGGTCGATGATCAATAATTGCTATAACTGAAGATTTTAACGCGACATCTTCATTCGCGAGAGTATGATGGTCCACTAAAATCAGCTCCAGCTTCTTGTCAGCATTATTCTGTACATTTTGCAAATTGATCTGATCTCTGTCAAGAGCATACTCAAGTAACACAAAGAGATATCACAATGTTTTTTAGAATCCAAAGACTCACCTAAATGTTATCAAATTTAAAGGAATATTATGAGATTTTAGGCTGTAAACTACTTCGGTCTTAATGCGAAATTCCTTTTCTGGGATATTCATGACTGGTATTATGGCAAGATTGCACAGTCCTTGCTTTTTGGCATCAACATATTCTAATAATCCTTGGACCAGAGCACATATAGCAGAATCCAAATCGCATGTCTGATTTCCCAGAACGACCCGAATTGTATGATATAACGATAATTGAGACTGAAACAAAACACAAGCAAGCCAAATAAAACGACAGTATAGAGATAAGCATATAAAATGATCTGAAAATGCATGTATAATAATCAATATCAAATTTTTACCAAAGCAATTTTTGACGCGCTAAGAAAGGATTCCATAGCTCCTTGCGATTGCATTGTATTCGTTTTTTTCTTCTTTTTTTCCAAATATCTTTATACTTGTGAATATACAAAACTACTTTTTATTATTTTAGTTTGGAGATTATAAGTTTTTCTTTTTCATGTTTATTTTTCATCATATGACATACGCAATCAGTATTTAGGTTATTTGTTTTGAGGGAAGAAGGACTCTCTAAACTCTCTTTCTAAAATGCTTTCGGAAATCTTACCCATGGAGTAAAATAACATTTAATTGACCAATCAAGACAAAAGGAGGAAAAATTTCTTTGTCCTGATTAGTCAAATCAATGATACTCTACCTCACGAGTAGGATTTTCGAACGCAACACTACACTGTATTTTTGTTCTTTCTAATCTTGAATATATAGATTTATAGACAAATGTCACTTAAAAATTTTTGAATACAGAAAATGTAAGAAAGCACAGCAAATAAAGAGATTGAATAATTTTGCTTCTCTCTGATATTATTGTAAACGCGAGATTATATATCGTATAGGTAATTAAACGAGATACATATACAATTAACGAGATATATATCGTAGAAGAGACGCCCGACTGGTAGAGTCATTCAAATGGCACAATCTTTTAAAATCTATCTTTTGAACTGTCTCAAGACTCTATCAAAGGTACGTCTTTTTTTACAGTTTGTATGTCACTTCATTATTTTGATTGTTCTCATCATTAGCGAAATGATCTAGATATTTTTATTTTGAAATTATGATATGATTAGTATAATGTAACCTACACACATATAATCACTATATAGTGTTTTATCATGACAATGTTAGAATGATTTAGATATATACTTTGAATTTGAAAAGTGCTATTGTTTTCTTGTTGTACTTTTAAGTAATATAATAGCAGGATTATTTAATTGCAAGGAAATATTTGTATGTTTCAGGCTGGAGATGTACAAATATCCAGATCTGTTCATACCTATAATAAAAATTGTATGTTTGGTAAATATGCTATAGTCCGACCATGGTTGGTTTCTAAAAAGGTAGTTGTACCTGCATACATACCTCAGCCATCCTATAGCGAATCAAAAGTACCTGAAAATGGGCCAATAACGCCTGAAATAAAAGATGAATCTCAAATAGAATGTATGAGGCAAAGTTGTAAACTTGCCAGTCACATCCTGCATCAAGTTGATGCATTGATTAAGGTGAATTATTTCTTAAATAAATATGTTACACATAAGCCATAATCCATAGATTTATATTACCACAAAAAAATTCATATAAACTTTAAATTAGTCAAAGAAGAATTGAACTAGATGAAAAGAGATATAATATATTTGAAAGATATATGCACAATCCTTGGATGTAAGTTTTATGATTCAAAATAAAAATGTTATTTTTTTGTAAATTTTTGTTTTTGTCAAATTCATTATTGTTCATTTATCAGATTGTGAGCTAATGTATACATAATTATTGTTACATATATATCACAAATTAATATATCTTGGGAGCAATATTTTAAAAATATAACAGCAAAGTTTACACACAGATATTTTTCAATATTTTGATTTTCTGAAACATTTCTAAGAATTATTAATAACTTTCATATATACATCCATATATTATATATTATAATAAATAAATGTAAGATGAAATTGATGTATACCAGCCAGGTATTACGACCGATTTTCTTGATGAACAAGTACATGATATGATCATTGGTAATGGAGCTTATCCCAGTCCACTCAATTATCATGGTTTTCCTAAGTCTATATGTACAAGTGTCAACAATGTTGCTTGCCATGGTATTCCAGACAATAGACCTTTACAAGATGGTGATATACTCAATGTTGATGTAACAGTGAGTAGTTTTATCAGTTATGATTTATATAATATTTCTTTAATAATCCAAAAATGCTAAAGGTAATTTAAAGAAAAGTTTATTTAAATTTTTGTTTAAGTAGGTATATCTTAATGGCTACCATGGCGACTGCTCGGCCATGTTTCAAGTAGGTGAAGTCGATTCAGAAGGCAAACGATTGATAACAATCACGGAATTGTGCTTAAAATCAGCCATTGAAATATGCAAGCCTAATCAACATTTCTGTAATATTGGTAATAATTTCATATACATATATATGATTAAGAATTTTTATTCTTAAATTCCCGTTAATATTTATATGATGCTATCACATTAATTTTCAACCCTCTGTAAATCTTTTCATTTCTAGGTAATGTGATAGAAGATATAGCAAATAAACATAATTTTAATGTGATACCTGCATTTGTTGGCCATGGTATTGGGACTTATTTTCACGGTGCTCCAGACATATTTCATTTCGGTATAAGAAAAATTTCATCATTACTAACATTAATATCTGTTAACTATATCTATTAACATATGATTGGTCAAAATTACCTTATTCTTTTTTACTCTTTTTCTTGGATATATTAATTTTAATTAAATCCATTAATACTATTAATGCTACACATTGTAGAAACATATATTGAGATATAACATCTACTTATTTCGTTTTACAGCAAATGATTATTCTGGAAAAATGAAACCAGGAATGACATTTACTATTGAACCAGTTTTGAGTCAAGGAATGACACAGTTCGAGATTTTGGAAGATGGATGGACAGCTTGCACTGTTGATAATTCTAGAACAGCTCAAATCGAACATACAGTTTTGATAACAGATGATGGATGTGAAGTACTAACACTCTAGTCCATAATTATGATTGTAACCGTTTCTATATATATATATGTAAATAATATATATTAAATGTATTATTTGTTTATATATATTTTTTATGTAAATCATAATCGATTTACATTTAAAATAGCTTATTAGTATTATCCTGCTATATATTTTTCTATACACAAAAATAATTGTATTTATTATCATAATTATTAATATGGTTTTTATTATAATTTTTTCTTATTTATATATATATGTAACGCGAATTATATATTCGCACATCAATGAAAAAAACAATTACAAGATACTTTTACCTTATAAGCTTTATTATAATTTATAAAGAAATTTAAAAAATTAGTTTTACAAGATTGCAGGTCCCCAATAGCTATCTAAAGTTATCGGTCCTTGTATTTCAACACCTTCTTCCTTTGTGACAATACCAAGATGATACTATAAAAAAATGAATCGATCCATTAATGACAATCAAAGGTCATCGATTACAAATACACAAATTTCTATACTTTACCTTCGGGAAAGATCTTGCATCTCTGTAAAAGAGAACTTGCATTACTTTGTATAATAGTTCAATAGCTTCCTCTTTGTTCATTTCACTGTTTTCTTCATAAGCTTTTCTTAGTATAGGCGTTGCCATATAAGCACCATATCCAGTCGCAATTACTGGATCGCTGTAAGCTGTCCCAAGCTTGTCGACAGTTCCCAAAAATCTGGGAAAGCAAAACCATGCGATTTGTAATAATTCAAATATATCTGAAAAGTTAAGAAAATATAGTACTTACGGTTTTCCATCGTCCAAACCAGCAATCACAAAATTATTCCAAAACGGATCAAAATTTGATCGCCTATTGTACAATACGCGTGTTAACCAACAATGCAGCGCTTTCGGTTTTAAACTAAATCCATCATCCAAACATTTTTCCTCTAGACTGAAACAAAAGCATTAATATAAATAAACGCTGCGCTGTTCTTTAAGAATCATTGAAAAAACTCCAATATATTTTTATATCATATATGTTCTTTAATTTATTCTTAATGTGAGTATACATATATCAAAAAACCTGCTATTTTAGTCTTATATTGATTAAAAGAAACTCACATTTTTCTTTCCACATAGCTCTTGACACACTGAAAATCTGCATAATCTCCAGATGCACCAAGAATGATGTTATTGTTAACTTTCATAATACGTTCGAGATTTCTATAACGGGCAAGTGAACCGTAAGATCCTAAGACGTCGGCCGCTATGATGACTCCGTCTTTAAATTTTATGCCAATAACGGACGTGCCAGTCGTTATGGGAGATCTGCAAAAAAATTAAATGTAAATTAGAAAATTTCCTGTTATTTATTTTATTATATCGCGTTTTATAAGTATATTGAATTCTATGCAATCTCGATTATTTAATTTTCATTGATTTGTTTCCTATACGAGACAAGATGACATGCGAGTTTCGTGAACGCCATGATAGGTTATGATATACAAATACATTTAAACAAACAAAATATTTATGGATTATAGTCGGATAAAACGTACTGTGATTTTTGAAATCCACCGGTCCCATATTGGTTGCCTGGAAAATGATAGAATGCACCAGGCGATGGTCCATTGTGCCACAGAGGTGCAACATCCTTATTAGTAAACGCCATTTTTGTTGCTGCAGACTGCGTACTGCCATAGACGTCATGTTAGTAACATGTTACGTCGATGATTTCGATACTTCGAGAATCGCATTTCGAGAAATCGCAAATTGCAGACTGCGATTTGCTTCAGTCAATAAAAAAATCGCGCTCCGCGATGGCAGAATATTCAGGAGTCACTCTGCATTTTTCGCGCTTTTTGTTATCTAAAAAATACCGTGAAAAATTATCGCAAATATGTCCTAAAGTGTCAGAAGTTTGTCGCTACGTGAAATACTAATCGTACAATCGTTATTATACGCTTTATAATTTCAATATCGATAATTTGCTTTTAAAGAAGTATCCGGAACTAGTTGAGGTTGAAAAATGTTTTCTCACTCTCTATTTCAAATTGTTTTTTTCCCGGAGTGCATCGAAAGTGATCGCTAGGTATGTTATATTGATATCTTTCTATAATTAGTTGTATCGAGATATCACATACTTGTAATATTTGAATTGCGATAGATAAAGATTGCTATTTTCTGATTTTGCGGCGGTTTGCGGCGCATCGACAAAATCCTATTAACACTGTAATTACAACATACAAAGTTTTACTTAAATCAAAATTGCTCCCATTTTCTCTCTCAAAACTTTCAGATTAAAATTAGAATCATTAAAATAGACAGTTTATTAAAATCGTTAATATAATCTTGCTTATATTCTTCTGTTAACATTATATTTTATGTATACATTATTTCAAGTATATCAATATATTTTACATCAAAAGGCAAGTATAATTTCTTTTCATTCGTGTATGACATATATATACACACACATACACACACACATAGACACAACAGGTAATATATGTTATATCGCAAACTAAAATTACATTCTTATGACGTAACAAAAAGTATCAATAAAGAAACGATCTATAAACGCAAACGTTAGCACACTCTAATACTTTTTGTTAGTTATTATGATTACTATCAATTATTATTTTTTTGAATTATATTCTTTGATGATTAAGATAGATTTGCGTAAAGCGAAAAATAAATCATCGTGATTGATAGCACAAACGCGATGTTCGAGGGTAATTGTACAGACGATGAGTTTGGCTTTTTTGCTTCCTCCTTGGGGAAGCTTTGTTTCTTTTCGGGTGGTATTGTATTTGCCAAAATTGTATTAATAGATTTCATTAGTGGATAATCGTATCCATCGAGCAAACTCATGTCACCGTGCAGTGATGAACATTTTCCTTGGAAGTCGTCAGTGTCAATGCTCCATACCATAACACCTGCCAGTTTCTGTCTTTTTACGTATTCCACCTGATAATGTTTATTAATTTTTAGATTTTTGAGCGCTCAAGATTTAAGAACTTGCGTGAAAAAAGATTGAATTATACTGTAATTATTATCAATTGAAACACGCGCATATATATATATATATA